TTATGCCACACATGCAAGCTCGATCTCCTGTCACCCATGGAGATGCAAAGCCGTCCACTTTAAATTCTTATCCAGTAAAGTAATCTACGTGTATCCTTCGCCTGTTTCGCCACTTGGCCCATGAGGAGACAGTAACTATATTCTGGTGCACTTTTCATGGACCGAGTTTCACACCCCTTTTTATTCTTTTCACCTAACTGATAGCCTATTTGTTAAAATTAATCTGCAGAATTGTTCGTGACTACTTCGACTGCGTTGATTCCTTGCCATATGCTGGCCATATAATAAGGTCAAAAATGCCTCACCCCTCACAAAAGTAGCCTGCAGTGAATTTTAGCTGAATGAATGTAGATCGAAACTTCATCTAAGGAATGTCGTTTTGACACAGTTCAAGCATGCAGCGTTATGCAAAGTAAACCGTTTCGTTAACATACCGTCTACCCTGCTGCTAAATCTCGGTTTTTCTCAAATGACCATGACAAAGCAACAACAACAAACCATTTCTCAGAACTTCTACAATCATTCCTGTCACATCATGTAGAGTACCAAGGTCGGCTGGTCATTAACTGTGTCCCTAAACAAGGAGCACAGAGAAAGCGAAGATGGAGAAGCTGCTGCATAACTGTAATTGTAAGCATAGAATCCGTACAGTGGTTTATCGTCGTGCTTCTGAAGGTGGTTGAGTCAAAGTAGGAATGCAGTACTGTTTCGTATTAAATGCTAACTTCCATTATCGACTGGCGAAGCCTTCATCGGTCTTTCACCTACACAAAAGGGGGCAGCTAAAAACTGGCCAGAAAATCTGACAAAAACGACTCCGTAATGCAATCAAATCAAGCTAATGAAGCTGATGGTAATGCAAGCATTTTATACGGTCATAAAGCACAGTACGGGTTGTTTTTATTTATAACTTATCTTGTCATCCGCTACGAAGAATTTTCCCGTGACTTCCAGAATAATACATCTGGGGATGCATAGATTCCAAACAACCAGTCATGAAATTATGACCGTCCTTAAATTGTACTTAACTTAAAACAGTTTTACTTGAAACTGAATCACCGCACATATTCAATATTAATTAAACAAAATGCAAAACAAAATGTGGGGATGAGGAAGAAGGAGACCAGTTATAACGCCCCGACTCTTGTCTAACACAGTGAAACAATTATGAAGCCAGTTGCTTAATGCATCACTTGTTCATACGTACTTTGACGATGCTCACACCAGAACCGATATTCACCAGAAGGTACGGAAAAACGTTGCATGGATCGACAGTCTGAAACTGGTACTCGTTCTTCTCGTGGTAATGGAAGGAGAACGACTCGTCCGGAATATTACGCAAAAGGAAGTTGCAACCTTTAATTAGGCACAGCACCTCATCCTCCCTGTCGAACCTGAAAGGTTTAACCGATTAGTCATATCCCTTACAGCGGTGCATCGTTTTGTTACTATTTGCCAGAGAGCTGACTCACTAAACAAATTGAAATCAACGAATAAAGTTTGTGTAAAGACACAGGCTCTTGGCCTACATAAGTATATGTCTATCTAAGGTAATCACTTGATGCACTGGTATTGGTAATGGTGCCTTCCAGACGCACCTCTTCTTACTAATGATGCACAGTGCCATGAATACGCA